GGCCGCGCACAGGCCGACGGCCATGATTTGCGCCCCCCCCCCCCCCCTCTTGGACACTCCCCTCTTGGCCGCCCCCGACACAGCGTGCCCGAAATTCGGTCACGCTCGCAGGACATCGCCGCCCACCAATCCACCCCAACCCAACCCGAAGGCCCCGATTTGCCCTCCATTTCCAGGGTGGGGGGGGGTCAGGGAAAATTGAGAAAACACATACGAAGCCCGCACCCCCCCCCTCCCCCACAACCCGAAATTCGGGCATTCGGGTTGGGTTGGGGTGGTCTGGTAGGGGTAGTCAGGACAGTGTTGCTCTGCCTCTGCGCGGTCCACTGTCTGCGCGCTGGCCCACCCATCGCGGGTTGGCCCTCGCGGGACTCCGGGCTTGCCAGGTGAGCTACGCAAAAACCACGGGGTCGGTTTTCGCCGACATTCAATGCGTGAGTTTCCCGCCTATGGCTGCGAGTACGCGCCCTCGCTTCAAGCGTGGCGTGTCTCGCTGGCGGCCCGCGTAAGCCGCCGCGTAAGGTGGCTACGCCGTCTCGCGCAAGACCCGTCTCTGATCGCCGCGCAGATGCATCTAGTGCGCAGAGTCCGCTTGCCGTGGCGCCTCTGCGCTGCTCGTGGCCAAGACGGCCGCGCGAGGTGCGGCAGCTCTGGAGGCGCCTCCGCCCGCGCGAGCCGCGCCGGCAGGTGGACTCGTCGCCCATCGACGATAACACTAGGCGCTCGCCTCCCTTCGCCGAGCGCGCTCCACCGCTCGCAGAGTGCCTGCTCGCAGACGTCAGCAAACCCCGCGGCGGATCCAAGCCATTCGCGAGTAGCTTCGCTGCGCGTAGTGGAACGCGCTCGTCTATCTTTTGGTCGGGCGTGTCTTTCAACAGGAGGAAAATTCAAACATAGTAAAACAAAAAACATGGAGACGATTTGTTGAGTATTGTTTGCAATTTTGGAGCGTTTCTTAATTATTGTGCTCGTCCAAAATCCGCCTGCAGGGGGACATGCCCGCCCTAAGACTCCCCTCTCCGGCACGTCGCTGTCGCGCGGCGGCCGGCGGTCCGTCGAGCGGGGGCGGGATGTTCGGACGATGCGGGGTGGGGCGGAGGAGATAGCAGGGGCAGAGTCCGGGAAGTGTCGGAGGCTCGCGTGGGGTCTGCGGGCGTCGTCGGCAGGTTTGCGAAGCGCGGGGTGGTTTCCGGCAGCTGCGCTTCGTCGAGGGCGTGTTTTGGGGGAGCCGGAGTCGTCCCGAGCGGCCGCAAGAGGCCCAGGTGTTGAGCCTGAGGGCGGAAGGTCGGGGGCGAAATTGGGGGGGGGGATAGGCTGACCCCAGGAGTTTTCCAGTCCCTGCAGCCACGATGCTGAAGTAAGGACCACCTCGGGCTCTGGAGGGGCTCCGATGCTCGGCCGGTTCCCTGATGCGTTTCGTGGAGCCCGTTTGTGGCCCAGGCCCGCCGTGGCCAGAAGAGCCCCGTCGTTTCTTTCGGTGCGTTCCTCGTGGCGGCCCGATGGCTGTAGGGGGGGATAGGCTGACCTCAGGAGGTCGTGGATCATGGCCCCCCTCAAGCACTTGGCCGGCAGTAAACTCGGCGCGTCCCCTGGTTCGCGAGTCCTCCTCCTCCTCCTCCTCCTCTTCCTTCTCCTATCCTCCTCCTCCTCCTCCTCCTTCTCCTCCTCCTCCTCCCCCTCTCCTCTTCCTTCGCTCGCGCTAGGTTGAGGTAGTAAAGGTAGTCGTCGTACTGTTGGTAGAGTCCGTGTTGATTGCAGTCCAACGCGGGCGTCCCGAACTGTGTTCCCACTATTTTCGCCGTGCTAACATTTGTTGGGTGGTTGTTTCTCGAGTTGGATCGCATGCTTGGGGTTACTCCAGATTTCGTAATAAAGGGAGGGGGGTCTCATTTCGGGGGGGGTCTCTTCCAGGCTATCTTGGAGGGCCTGGGGGGTCTGGGGACGATGTTTTGGAGGGTCCTCCCACGGGGGAGGTCTGAAATGGCTTGTCTTGGAGGGTCCAGACCCCCTCCCTTTTATTATTACGAAATCTGGAGTACCCTGCACAAGAGAGGAATTCCTTACATGCTCGCACAAGGTTTCTAGTGCGAGTCCATACACATCCTTACGAGTCATCTTGTCGTAGTCCCAGCTTTAGTCCTAGGAGTCTTCTACTTTTTTATTCGTATTATTATTACTCAACGATTGCCGATTCTTGTTGGGTGTCGGCAACCCTCAACGAGGCAACGAACAAATAATAGTTTGACTTCTCTTGGGGTGAGTATCTGGAAGACCTATTGTGGTTAAGGGGGGGACGCATCGACACCAAATCGCCGATGGATAGCTGACAGGAGCCCGGTGGACCACCACGCCCAGGAGGGTTCGGACCCGTTACTGGGATCCTATCGCCGACCTGAGGTTTGTCGGCGATGTGTCGCCGATTCATGTTTCCCCCCCTGAGCCGAGGAGCCGCTGATCGTAGCGGTTGTCGAGGGCTCGGGCGACTCTGATTGATTGCCTTCTGCAATTTGGTCATGCCCTCACGGGACAGATTTTATCAATACATATATATACACACATATACACTAATATTAGTATTCATATTAACATTATTGTCACTACTATTACTATTACTGATATAAAGAAACGACGTTCCCACTCAGGGAAAGCGGAGGAGATGGAAGGGGGGAGGAGTCGGCTGCGCGTAAGGGTCACCCTTGGCCTGGGTGATTGTTGGTATGCGGCACGCCGGGAGCGCGCAGGGTGGGGGGGAGCGAGCTTTCGCTACCATCGCATCGCATGTGCCGCTCGGCAAGCCAGGGAACCAGCTCCACTGGCGCCCGAGCTGTCTCGTGATGCTCGGCCTGGGGATGGTCCTCAGCAGGCAGGGCCTTTCTCGCATGGGTCTGCTGGCCTCCAAGAGGGCCTCTCAGAAGCCTCTGGGGTCTTCCAGTGAGGCGCCTTTTGGGAGGCCTCCCTGGGCCGCCTCCCTCGCGCCACCCCCCCTTGTGGGCGCCGCCAGCTCCGAGTGGCTCCGGGGACTTGCCCGCCCACCTGGCGATGCGTAGTGCACATGGGGACGTCGCGCGAGAAGCTCTGCGATGAGCGAGCCCGAGGGCAATTCCCTGCGATGTGCGTGCGGACCCTGTGACCTCTTGAGGTGAGCCGGCACAGTGAGCACGCGACGTGCTCGAGCACCTCCTCCTCCTCCTCCTCTTGCGCTCCTTGTTCTCCTCGTTTGGTCCTCCTCCCGGTGGTGGGAGGGAGGGGGCGTCCGGGTGGGGCGGACTTTTTCTGGATGTCGTTTGCTCAGCCCCTTCGGCGACCTTGAGTGGGGTTGCGCATTAAAATGCATGCTTGAATTACACATCCTCAAGTCGGACGGGACTAGGACGAGGGTCGATCCATTCCAGAGCGTTCCCGAACGCTCTGAGAGCGTTCTGGAACGCTTTGAGAAGTCCGCGGCGCCTGATGCCTCCCCCAGATCGGCCAGATCTCAGAGATTCTCAAGGTACAGTCAGCGCGCCTAGTAAGGACGCGCGCCTTCATCTAGGATACCCTTGCGTCCTTGCCTCTGTGGCCCGTCCTTTGCCGTTCTCACCGGTCGCCGCCGCCCCAAACATCCCCACTTCAGCCTCCAAGGGTCTTGCGTCCTTGCCACGCGTCCTGAATCTACGTTTTGACTCTATCCGTACCCGATTTGACTCGTCCTGGGGTCGTCTTGCGTATCGAGGCGCGGCCTCGAGCCCGTGGCCGCGCGTCCACGGCGCGGGCCCCGTGGTCGGAGAGCCTGCCCGTGCCCGCGGCCCCGCGGGCCTGGCTCCACAGCCCCGCGGGCCCGGCGGGGTGCGGGGCGCTTCTGTGGCGGCTGCCCCCCGCGCGGAGCGCCTCCACGCGGCCGCGTGTGCCCGCGGGCTGGCGCCCGAGAGTCGAGACTCGCAGGCGAGTCTGCTCCCCCGATGTGGGGGAACGAAGAACGTCGGAGGCGGACAGAACCCCCAATAGTGACACGTCGATTAGTGAATTGTCCGTTTTCGGTTCTCGAGAGGGCGCCGCGGCCGTTATTTTCCAGGCTTGCGCCCGCCAGGTTTGGGTCTCAGGTCGTTTTCACTAAACCACGTTTTACTCAAGGGAGGTCTGTCCATCCCCGAGAACGACGCAAACGTGAAAACTCGGAGGTCCGCGCGGATTTCTCGCATCCGCGCTGGACCCCCCTGGCGGCGCCTCCTGGCGCGCCCCGCGCGCCAGGGAGGGGGGGGTCCAGCGCCGATCCGAGAAATCCGCGCGGACCTCTGAGTTGTCATGCTTATGTCATTCTTCGTTCCCCTATTGAGAATCGAGGCTCGCAAGCGATGCTTGTCCCCCAATCCCCGAGTTCCGACCGAAAAGTTTGGCCGCTCAGAAACAGGTGGATACCCTGGGATACACCCCAAGGGTGCATTTCGGACGCAACCTTTTCGAGGATGGACGCCCCACATCGTATATCCCAGGGTCGGGCCCAAAATTCCGTGCCCATGCGGAAAAACCACGAAGCCTGGGATAGGGGTCGACATACCCCCTTTCAGAGAGCCCCCCATCGTCCATCCCAGAGTTGGGCCCAAAATTCCGTGCCCGTGCGAAAACACCACGAAGCCTGGGATAGGGGTCGACGTACCCCATTTCGGAGAGCCCCCTATCGTCTATCCCAGAGTCGGGCCCAAAATTTCGTGCCAGTGCGAAAACACCACGAATCCTGGGATAGGGGTCGACGCACCCCCTGTGTGAGAGACCGTGAGGGCGTACGTTCGCCGCTCGCGAGGGCCTGCCTCACGCCTGGGGGGTGGGGTTGCACCGGCGCGCACGGCAGGTCTCGGCGGTTCCCCGGTTCGTCATGATTCAGGAGGGGAAAAAACATACAGACACAATGAATCGTCGATCCCAAAGGAAAATGTTGGAGAATATGGGAATTTGGCGGGAAGACAAAAACCAGAAAATATGGGGAAATATGGGGAATCCTTTTATCTGTGTATATTTGTTTGTGTGTCCCAGGGCCCCTTCAATGATGTTTGTGATTGTTCCTCGGTAAGCACGGGCCACCAAGCCACTCCGACCCTATCCGAAGGCCCCAACTTGCTCTCCATTTCAATCGGGGGAGGTCAGACCTCCTACCCTGACACGTCGATTAAGGAATTGGCCGTTTTCGGTTCGCGAGAGGGCGTCGCGGCCGTCATTTTTGTGGGTTCAGGTCCATCGGTTTCGGTCCCAGGCTGATTTCACTAAGGGGAGGTTTACTAAAGGGGGGTTTGTCCACCGCCGATTCCAGTGGGGGGGGTCCAGGGAGCATTGACAGCAACACGTGTGGAACCCTCACCCCCCCCAGCCCGAAATTCGGGTCTTCGGGTTCGGTTGGGGTGGTCTGGTCGGTAGTCAGGTAACTTGTGGACGTCTGCGTCGAGGGCTTGCCGTTGGCATCAGGAGAGCATGGAAGAGAACGACCACCCAGCGGGATGCAATAATTTCTCGTAGAGGACAAGACGGGCAGCAAGCGAATCTAGCTAGCACAGGTGTTTCTGGGTCGTCAAGTACGACGGCTACGAGGAGGACATCAGCATCAGGGAATGCCTCCGAGGCCGCTCCCAATGGCAATTTGAGGATGGCTTCTCATCTTTGGCGGTCCCGGGCGTGCCTTCAGAGTGGGTTGCGGCACCAAGCCGCCCTTCGCCCCATTTTCTCCCGCTTCTCTTGTCGGCATCTACCCGCTGCGTGCTTCTCTCGGGCTGCTTGGCATTGTATGTATGGCCCAGTGATGTGCGGGGGCCATCTTAGAATTCGCGCGGGTTTGTCTGGGCTCTTGCAACGGGCTGTCTTGGTTTGCTTTCGGCATGGACTGCCTTAGATCGTAGGACTGTTTAGGCTGTCGAATCGGAAGTTTGTGGTCTCGCCAGTGGCATTGTTCCACCACTTGAAAACGGAAGGGCCTTCCTGGAACGGCCAGGACGCCGTCTGCAGGTCTTGTACAAAGGTGGCGAGGCAAAGCAATTGTAAAGCTCAATGGGTTGCAACGTTTCAGATTCCGAGTGACCTGTCAAGAGGGCCCTGGGTGATCCTGTGGTCGTCTTCTCTTTGGTCGTCTCAGGGGTCCTTGCAGTTATCGAGAGGATGCCACACCCCTCTTAGTCGATCGTGGAGTCTTTGAAAGGGAGCTCAAAAGCAGGGCCTCTGGGGGCGGAAGGCTTGGTTTTTCGGTTCGTGCTCCCTCCCTTGGTCCCCTTTTGGGGCCATCTTCGGGCCCTCTTGGGCCGTTTTGGGCGCCTCTTGGGCCGTCTCGGGGCCCTCTTGGTCCGTTTTGGGACCCTCCTGGGGGCTTCTTGGGCCGCCATGGGGCGGTTTGCGGGGCCTCTATGGCCGTCTGGGAGCGTAGGGAAGCCGAAACGGCAGAGGTCCAAATCTTTTAAGCACCCAGGGAAAATCAATGACATTGGCCTCTTGGGGCCTTCTGGGGAGGTCTCTTGGAGGCCTCTCGGGGCGTCTTGGAGGCCTCCTGCGCCCTCTGGGGGCCATCGTCTTGGAGCGACCCTTCGGCGATTCGGGGCGCCCTCTTGGACCGTCCTTGGGGGGCCTCTTGGGGCCCTCCCGGCGCGGTTGGGGGGCCCCCTCCTACTCCTTTCCCTCCTCTTCCTCCTCCTCCTCCTCTTCCTCCTCCTCCTCCTCCTCCTTCTTTCCTTCTCCTTCTAGAGACCTCCTCCCTGTCGCACCCCGAGGCCACCTGGGGGCCCGGAGAGTCCACGCGCGGATACTGCCCGGAGCCCGGGGGCACGCGCCAAGCCCCAGGGGGGTACGCGCCAGGCCCTGCCGCGCTCGGGAATTCGGGGTCCGGGCCCCTGCAGGACTCCTCAGGAGTGAGGACTTGGGCTCAGAGCAGGAGGAGGAGGAGGAGGAGGAGGAGGAGGAGGAAGAAGAGGAGGAGGAGGAGGAGGAGGAGGAGGAGGAGGAGGAAGAGGAGGAGGAGGAGGAGGAGGAGCAGCAGGCAAAGGACCTGAGGGCGCGCCTGCTCCGGGCCCGGAGGCACGGTGGCGGACTGTTTTTTTTCAGCTTGAGCATGGCAGTTCGGCTCGGGATCGCGCGGGTTTTTCTGTCTTCACGGCAGGAGGGAGCTTCGAATGATTAGCCTGTTTCCCACCACCACCACCATAAGTTGGAGGGAGGAAGGACGGAAGGAAGAGGAGGAGGAGGAGGAGGAGGAGGAGGAGCAGGGGGAGGAGCAGGAGGAGGACCCCCTCCCCCGCCAACTTATGGTGGTGGTGGTGGAAAACACGCCCATCATCGAAGGCTCTCGAGGTCTGGCACGCGATTCGCCTCCTGCCTTCATGGTGCACGACGCTCGGCGCGTTTCGGCATGGGAGCGGTCGGGCTCCCATGCGTGCTGATCGCCATAGGTTTAAGTCGGGCCATAGGTTCGACGAAAAATGAAAAATACCTCCAAAATAGTCCCAACATAGTCTGGGGACTATTTTTTTTTTGTATTGTTTTACCTTTTTGGATTTTTTTGTATATTTGTCTTCCGTCTACTTATCCCGGCAAAGCAACCTAACAGCGATGTGTAGAAGCATAGCTGGAAACATTGCCTGTGGTATTCATATAGGAGTGCTGTTGTAAAATTCTGGTGTTCTCGCAGTCGCATTCGGATTCGCAGTGGCAGTCGCAGTGGCAACATCAGCGGCAGTCGCAGTGGCACTGCCAGTAGTTGCAGTAGCAATATCTACACTAGCAGCAGCAACAGCAGCAGCAGCAGTAATAGTAACAGTAGTAGTAGCAGTAGAAGTAGTAGTGATGGTAGTAGTGGTAACAGTGAAGTAGTAGTTGTAGTGTGTGGAGTGAACGAGTAGGAGTGATGGGAGCAGTGGTCGAGTCGACGCCTTGCGCACCCGCTCCGCGTACCGCTGCGCGAATTCCGTGTGTTGCGCAGAAAGGCTGGACACAAACTCCGTGTAGGCGGCAAAGCGCCGCAGGATTGCCTTGGTCCGGATGCCACTCTCGAGCATCAGCACGTCTTGGTCGATCCTGTTCTGCGCCTCCTCAGCGAACCCTTCCATGGGGTTTGGAAGGCCCTCCGCCTCCGCGATGCGAGTCTTTGTTGTGGTTTCGCTCTCCGCTTGCTTGAAGGCCTGGAGCTCGGCGTCCTGCTCCGGGGAGAACTGGTTGGCCTTCCGTGCTTTCCGGACTTTCTCTGCCAGCTGCCGCTCTGCGAGGCTACGCCCAGCATGCTCCTTCGGGTGGCGGCCGAGGTCTCGCACTTGCTGCATGAGTTCCTCGGTCTTGTCTCGCTTTTGCTGCATGAGCTCCTCGGTCTTTTGCTTCCGCTTGAGCTCCTCGGTCTCCGTCTGCTGATCAGCACAGCCCAGGGCCCGCAGTTCATGCAAAATGTCTTTGGGGATGCGGTCGCGATGGTCCGAGAAACGTTTGGCCAACTTGTTTTCGGCCCCTTCTTGTTCGGACGTTCGTTTATTTCGTTTCGGTATCGGGCCGACCTGCTTCACGTGTTCGACGAGCGTTTGCAGAGGACCGCTCAATGCAGCACGCTGAGGAGCAGCGCTGTCCCCTGCCGCAGCCTGAGGAGCACCGCTGTTCAATGCAGCAGGGTCAGGAGCACCGCCGCCAGACCGAGAACTATCAGCATGTCCTGGCATTAAGGTGTGCAGTAGGCGCTGCGCAGTTCCTTTGAAAAAGGAAATCTTCGAAAGCAGGGCTGTAGCCAAGAAGGCTACGGGGACGATGATGATGATGAAGAGGATGAGTCTTGGAAGTCTGGGAAGTGGAAGAGCACGAAGTGGCGTACAGTTGGCTCCGGGCATTCAAAATGTGGCCCGGGAGTGGAGTTCTGGGAAGTGGAAGAGCACGAAGTGGCCTACAGTTGGCTCCGGGCATTCAAAATGTGGCCCGGGAATTATGTTTTGGGAAGTGGAAGAGCACGAAGTGGCTTACAGCTGGCTCCGGGCATCCAAAATGTGGCCCGGGAATGGAGTTTTGGGAAGTCGAAGAGCACGAAGTGGCTTACAGTTGGCTCCGGGCATCCAAAATGTGGCCCGGGAATGGAGTTCTGCGAAGTCGAAGAGCACGAAGTGGCTTACAGTTGGCTCCGGGCATCCAAAATGTTGCCCGGGAGCGGAGTTCTGGGAGGTCGAAGAGCACAAAGTGTGCGACTGTTTGCTTAAAGCGAGCCCGGCCCTGAGCCCGGCCCTCGCTGTCCGGATGCCGCCCAGACCTCCCATCTGAGTCATCTGATGCTTTCTTTTGACACCACTAGAAACCTATCAGACTTCGCTGTTAGGTAAAACGTTCTCTAGGGGGACAGGCCCGACTTAACCATGGGTCTGGCATCCACTCCTTGGTGGAGGCAGCAACGGTGGGCCTCGGTCCGGCACTGACTCTGCCACGTGAGGCCCGCCTCTTGCGCAGGGGTGGCAGAATGGGGTCCGCAACAGGGGGTCTGCAAAGGGGGGTTCGCAAGGGGGCTTTTCACGCGACTTTGCCATGCGTGTCCCGCCTGCGCAGGAGTCCTGCGCAAGCCGAGACAAACATGGGCAACCGAGGCCACGGGGGGCAAAGGATAGGCAAGGTTTTTCTTTTGGCGAGCCTGGGCAGAGCTCCGCCTCCTCCTCCTCCTCCTCCTCCTCCTCCTCCTCCCGGTGTCATTTTGGCTCAAGTGTGATTGGGGAGATCGCACCTGAGCGGGCAGCTCACTTCAGTGGGCAATTCGGGTGTCGTGCCCGAGCGGACCTTTCTCTCTCTCTCTCTCTCTCGTTTCTCTCCCACCCGTCCTCGCGCCATGGCGGGCTCTGCGGCCGAGGCGATGGAGCGCGGCATCAAAGAGCTGCTGCTGAAGATGGACTCCATGAGCGCCAGCTTCACAGAGCAGTTGGGTGGCATCAACACTGCCATCGCGGAGATCCCTGCCATCAAAGCTCAGCTGGTCGATCAGGCGGCCAAGAATGCGACCATCGCCGAACGGCTGGACAAGCTCGAGGCCCAGGGCGTTGCGTCCATCGCCGAGGGCCAGTTTCTGGCGAAGCTCGAGCTCTTGGAGACACGGGTGAGCAGCCTCTCTACGGCGTCTACCTCGAGTGCAGGCAGTGTACATTCCTTTGGGCACGCATCTAATGGTGCCAAGCGTGCTCGGCCCGAAGGACCTTCCCGATTCGGTCGACATGACGATGCAGTTGATGCCTCCTCTCGGGACTGGTGTAAGATCTGGGTCAGCGGCTTTGTCTCTCCGATGCTGGGCTCGATGCTCGAGGAGCACGGCAAGCGCCTGCTCGGCCTTTTGCCATCTCATCACACTGCTGGAGCCACTATTCGAGGGTACAACCTCAACAAGTCGTACAGCATCAAGTTCGCCAATGAGAAAGCGGATGCTGCCTTTGTGGATCACTACCGCTCTGCAGGCGTGCAGCACCAGGACCAGGCCGCAAACTCCACTGTCAACCTGCGAGTGAGGTTCGACGCCCCAGCCGAGATCCGCGTTAAGAACAAGTACGTGAGCAGGCTCTGGCAGGCGATCACCGAGGCCATGAAGCGCGACGGGAAGTGGAAGACGGACTACTCCATCGGTTCCAACGGCTTCAAGGGCATCCTGTACATGAAAGTTGGCGAGTGCTTGTTCGTGCTGTTCGAGCTCATCTCCACGGACCGCAACCAGTTCGAGTGCAAGGCCTTCCCCGACAATCTCTCCAAGTTCGGCATTGACTCGGATGCCGCGACGGCCATGATCGCTACATCGATGGAATAGGACGCTCCCCTGTCCGAACCGAGGACTGCAGAGTCCCCCGAAGTCAAGGGTAACCCACTGAGCAGCGACGATGAGGGCGGAATGATCATCGAGAGCTCCTCTGATTGTGGTTCCTCCTCCTCTTCCTCCTGCCCGTCCAGCCCGTCCAGCCCGTCTTCTGCCATCCGTGCTTGTTCTTTTCCTGACCAGCCCTTCAATTTCACGCAGTACTTCTCTGCCGTTACGTGGAATGTGCAGACTCTCTTCGGATCCGTCTCGTCGCCGATTCAGCCGATCGTCAACGCGATGTCGAAACTTCGCCGCCTCATCTCGAAACACGCCACTATCGCTCTTCAGGAAACACACGGGTCCCAGCAGGACCTCATGTATCTGAAAAAGGAGATCGAGGGTCTGCACGCGTACGGCACTTGCTTCTCTTGCGGCATCAAAGGTGGTTGCGTTATTATTATCCATCCTCGCTTTGCTTCGCTCTTCTCTCATTTTCAGTATCGCGTTCTTCGGGGGGGGGGCGAGTTCGCGAGCTCTTGCTGCAAGGGCGGCATGGCACTGTGCAGATCATCAATGCGCACCTCGACCCCAGCCTTCCCATCTCCGTTTGTCAACGCACCCTTCGTTTCATCAAGTCGAGGGCCCTATCATCCTCTGTTGGGACCTCTTCCGTCTTGGGCGACTTCAATTTCTGTGCTCTTGGTGAGGGGGAGGGCGCATATTGGTGGGGAGAATACTTATCACAATCATGGGCTCTCAAAATATTTCGCTCGCCTTTTCCCTGGCCTCGCCGAAGTTTCCCAGCCTGCATGCGCACATAGGCGCACGCAGATCCATGACAACGTTCGGTCTATCCAGTCCGTGGCACGCCTAGATAGGATCTACACAAACATGTATAGTGCGTCCTTGATAGACCTACAGGCCAACTCGCTCACGCTCGCCGCGGTGTGCGACTAAGAGTGGCCCTCCGACCATGTTCCTGTCTGTCTCTCGCTCTCTCCCTTCCAGGCCTCGGGGACTCCGCGGATTGCATCCTGGGTTTGTCGTCGTCCTGTGCTCCCTCGGGCGATTCAACAAGTTCTGGATATGGTTCCTCCTCTCTCTCCCGATCCTGCTCTTGCTGTTCGTGAATTTAAAGATGTCACCCGTGCCGCTGCCAAGCTTGTCCGAGAAGAGCTCGAGCAGAGAGAGGCGGACTCGTTGCCGGAGAAACTCTCGTGGACGCTCGCTGCTCATCGTGCGATGCAAGCAGGGGCGCCATCTCGAATTCGGAGAGCGCTGCGTGCATGCCCTTACTTGTCTCGCTTCATTGATGCCACCGACCTCGTCTGGAAGGACATGTCTGGCTTCTATGTCTGGCTGGGCCAGCTCGCGGCTAGCAATGTCAAGGCTAAGATTGCGGAGGTCGACGCAGACCCGCACGTGCACCCTAATACCAAGTCTTCTTCCAAGCAGCGTCTTCACGAATATCTTTCGGCCTGGTCTGGAGCTAATCGACGTATTTCCCTCGCCGGCGTCGCTGATCCTTCGGGCGAACATATTTCTGATCCGAAAATCGTCGCTGGCCGTCTAGCGGAACACTGGGGCAATGTGCACGGCTTGGAAGAGGGCTCTTCGGATGCACGTGAGCAGTTAAGACTTTATGTTGTTCAATGTCCTGGGCATATTCCATGGGGGATATGTTTTGACGAGTTCTGCGAGAGGGCCTCCAAGGTTCGAGATTCTGGAGTCGGCCCCGACGGTATTCCTTATTCGGGATGGACCAAATCAGGAACCACAGGCCTTCGACTGCTCCACGCACTTTGTCTTTCGCTTCTTCGGGGTGGAGCTCTTTCTACCGATTTCAATTTCTGCCAAGCGATCTCCTTTGCCAAGGGCGTGGAGGACGATGGCCAGTCGGTTGGGGTTTTCCGCAAGCCTGAAGTAACTAGGCCGATCTCTCTCTCTCTCCAACAGCGACAATAAGTTGATCTCTCGGACTCTGAATTACTCCTTCTCCGACCTGTGTTGCGAAACGGCGATTGGCGCCCAGCGGGGCTTCGTCAAAAATCGGAACATGAACGACAACATTTTGACCCTGGAATCTTGGGCTCTCCAATGGTAATGTCAAATGGGTCCTAGGGGGACGGGGTTTGCCTCCTTCGATGTTCGAGCCGCGTTTCCCAGCTTACTCCATACTAAGATCTGGTGGGTCTTGGGAGCCATGGGGGTCCCTACGTCTATCGGCGATGCTGTGCGTAAGCTTTACCATCGCGTGTGGGTTAGCATCAACTTCTGTGGGCTCCAAGAGGCTGGGTTCTGGGCTCTCCGAGGTATCAAGCAAGGCTGTCCTCTGTCAGGTTCGCTGTTCTGTCTTGGGTTCGACCCGATCCTGCGGTACATGCAGTGCCTCTTGCCCCCGCAGCTAGGCGCTTTGGGAGTCTTTGCTGACGACGCAGGCATCGCCAGCTCCGACGTCTCGGCCTCTCTAGTGCTCGCGTTGCCTGCGTGGGGCCTCGCAGGCCGTGCTGCTGGACTCCATATGAATGTAGCCAAGACCGCCATTGTTGTGATTCATCCCATGTCCTACTCCGAATTCTGCCAACGTCTCCAGCAGCACGGTATCTCGCAGGAAGGTTTCATTTTCAAGCGCACCGCCAAGTATCTGGGCGTCGTGGTCGGGCCTGGTGGCGCACAAGAGAGCTGGATTGCCCCTGCCACGAAATGTACCGAACGTACAAGGTGCATTCAGGGGCTCGGGCTTGGCTTACTGAAGTCAGTCGCCCGATACAACATGTATGCCCTCTCCGTCTTGGCTCATGCCTCCCAGTTCTACTCCCCCCCCCCCCCCCCCCCCCCCCCCCCGATTTTGCCAAGCCCATCGAGAACCAGTCCCTCCAACTTCTCTCCAATGGTCCGAGAAGCGCCATCCCGTCCGACCTCATTAGGAACCTCGACTCCCTCGGCTTCAAACTCGGGGCTCGTGAATTCGAATGTGCTGCTCGTGCTGCCATGTTTCGGGCTGCGACAACATCCAGTGCCTTCCACCGGGCCGTGGAGCGCTTGTCTGAATTCGCCCTCTCAGACGAGTGCCAGATTACGCACGCATGGAATGAATGGTGGAAGAACAACATCACGATTTCGATGTGGCAGAACTATGACTTCGTGAATCAGATTCCCAGGGGTCCTGTCTTTGGAGATCGGAGGTGTCAACATAAAGCTGAGAGGGCTCTTCTGAGGCGTAGGATATTCTCCGCACCAGTTTTTGTTTGACAGACTTCGGCATCTCAACCCAGAAGCGTCCAGGGCCGATGTCGACCAGGTGTTTCGTTTCATGCTCCGTGTTGCTGGTGTTGCCCCCTCCTTCCTTGTCTCCTCTTGCCTTAAAACTGTCAGTAACGCCTGGTGCACCTCGGGTCGGTTTAGAGGGCCGACTCGCGACTGCCCTTTTTGTCAAGCATCGTGTCAGGACGCTCTCATGCATGTCCTTTGTTGTGACGTCCTCGCACGAAATGTGCGTTCTCGTCTGCCCTTCCTTCCCCATGGGGTCGAAGTTGCGAGGGACGTTGTTTGTGTGTTTCCCTGTGGTCCTTTTTCCTCGTCGCAGGTGCTTTCTCTTGCTATATACATTGACACCATGCGCAGCGTTTACCATAGTATGAAGGGAGCAGGACAGGGGATTGCAGCACTTCGAAGTGCTGCTGCCGCTCGCCTTCGGCAAACGGCCAGGCGCGCCCCCACCCTCGTCACGTCCCTCTGCTTCGATCCCTCTTCTCTTGTCCCTTGCTCGCGTCTTGTCCGCTTGCCTCCTCCTCCTCCTCATCATCATCATCTTCCTCGTCGTCCCCACTGCTTCCCCGCATCCCTCGTTTCATTTATTAAACGAATGCTTGGCACCTCTGCAAGCCACGCGAGCCAACGCGCACGGGCATAAAGAACGGTGCGCGTATTTCCAAGTGCTTTTGTGTCTCTTACACGGTCATCACGTTGCCGTTCAAGCAGCCCCGGTGGGACCCGTTCGTTGGGATCGGTCGGTGGCCCTTAGTTCGGAGGTTAATAGACCTCCTACCTTGACACGTCGATTAGCGAATTGGCCGTTTTCGGTTCGCGAGAGAGCGTCGCGGCCGTCATTTGTGCGTGTCCAGGTCCGTCGGTTTCGCTCCCAGGCCGTTTTCATTAAAGGGTGGTTTACTAAAGGGAGGTTTGTCCACCGCCGATTTGTAGGCAAGTAGGCCGGCACGGCGTCCCCCAGCTCCGATTCTACTCCATTCGTCCCTCCGACATGATGCTACCCAGCTCTCCTCGCAAGGTGGCGCGATGCGTCACGCTGTTATGTCCTGCTCGGCCGGCTCGCCAGGTTTCGAGAACTATTTGCGCCTGGAAGGCGCCCAGAGTCGGGGCCAGAGGGGCCGGGGATGAGGATGAAGGTAAGCGGGAGTGTGGAGTAATTAGGTGGGGGCGGAGGGAGGCAGGAGGAAATGGTAGGAAGAGGAACTGGAGGTGGAGGAGAGAGCAGAGTAATAGTGAGAGGAAGGGATGAAACAAGATCAAGAGGATGATGAGGAGGAACCCGTATGCGCACGGTACAGGATGGAGTGCGCGAGAGACGCAGATGCGGCTGACGATTGTGCAGACCAGCGCGAATATCGCCGCGATATTGCACAATAGCATTCGAATCGTTGATTAGATTGCATGTCCTCGAGGGGGAGGCGAGACCCTCCTACTGGCTAAGTGGGAAAGGCACTGTATAATTGGAGATCTACCAGAGGGACGATTTTCGGACCTGTTTGTTTCTTCTCATTGTCCTGGCGTCGGGCGCTGGGCCAGGGGGGCCGCGTCGTCCTGGGGCCCCGGGTAGGGCTGGGATATGCACTGAGGACGAGGAGGAGGCCTGCCGCTACGATCTCAGTCGCACTTGGTTTGTTCAGCATACAATGAAGAGGAGGAAGAGGAGGAGGAGGAGGAGGAGGAGAAGGAGGATGAGGAGGAAGAGGAGGAGGAGGAGGAAGAGGAGGAGGAGGAGGAGGCGGAAGAGGAGGAGGAGGAGGAAGAGGAGGAGCAGGAGGAGGAGGAGGAGGAGGAGGAGGGAGAGGAGGAGGATGATGAGGAGGAGGAGGAGGAGGAGGAGGATCAGAGCGTGAATTACCTACCCCGCTTTCGCTTCCAGGCGAAACCAAGCCATACCACGCGCCTCCTCGTCAAGCGGCCTGACCAGTAGAGGCTGCAATTTGGCATCGTTTGGTATCTCTTGGAAGCGAGGGTGGTCAAAAGCGAGGTAGGTTTGTTTTCCCCATAGAGGAGTGAGGAGGAGGAGGAGGAGGAGGAGGAGGAGGAGGAGGAGGAGGAGGAGGAGGAGGAGGAGGAGGAGGAGGGGAGGAGGAGGAGGAGGAGGAGGAGGAGGAGGAGGAAGGAGGAGGGGGAGGGGGGGGGAGGGGGAGGAGGAGGGGGGGGAGGAGGAGGAGGAGGGAGGAGGAGGAGGAGGAGGAGGAGGAGGAGGAGGAGGAGGAGGAGGAGGAGGAGAGGAGGAGGAGGAGGAGGAGGATTAGGAGGAGGAGGAGGAGCAGGAGGAGGAAGCAGAAGAGGAGGAGGAGGAGGAAGCAGAAGAGGAGGAAGCAGAAGAGGAGGAAGAGGAGGAGGAGGAGGAGGGGCAGGCGAAGCAGCCGCCGACGCGCCGCAGGCGTCGAGGGAACCGAAGCGCCAGCCGTCCGGCGCCTGGGACCTGGTCGGTGGAACAGGGGGCTCAGGCGGGCGCCTCCCCGGGCGGGGCGGCCCTGGTGGGAAGAGGCGGTGCAGGGCCCTCCTTATTCTCCTCCCTCCCCTCCTGCTCCTCCTCCTCATCCTCATCCTCATGCTCCTCACCCTCCTCCTCCTCCTCGCCTTCCTCCTTCTCCCTGCTCCTCCTTCTCCTGCTCCTCCTCCCCGTCCCCCTCCCCTCCTCCTCCATGGCCTCCTTCTCCTCCCTCGCTCCCTCCCTCCTCCTCCCTCCTTCCCTGCTTCTTCTCCTGCTCCTCCCTTCCTCCTCCTCCTCCTCTAACTCGCCTCCTCCTCCCCCCCCTCCCTTCATTCCTTCCTCCCTCCATCCCTCCATCCCTCCTCCCTCCTCCTCCTCCTCCTCCTCCTCATCCTCATCCTCATCCTCTTTCTTTTTCTCCTCCTCCTCCTCCTCCTCGTTCTCTCTCTCTTCCCTCGTCCTCCTCCTCGTCCTCCTCCTCCTCTTCCTCCTCCTCTTCCTCCTTCTACTTCTTCTCCGCCTCCCCCTTCTCCTCCGTCTCCTCCTCATCTTCTTTCTCCTCATCGTCGTCCTCATCCTCAGTTTCCTAGGCTCGGGACAGAGTGCGAGGGGGCACTTCAGTTCCCGTCTGGGTTCGCCGCAAGGCGACGAGGCGGGGCGCGAACGTCTCGCTCTTGTCATCCACTGTTGCATATTCCGTTTCCGCACTCTTGTCCAGAGCCAGCGCGATGGCCCACGTTGATAGAGGCAGGCCGCGACATGTGTGAGTGAAATTTTGGTGTTCCCTACTGGGCCTGGGCTGCAGGATTTCTAAGATTACGAGTACTTCCAGAAGAGAGTTTGCGTGGCGCAGGCGGCGGAGGGCCGCTATATAAAACGCAAAAGTGTTGGTGCGCCTTTCGGCCCGTTCAGCAGGTAAGACGGAGGCCTGAGTGATGTTTCAGCATTATGTGAGAAATCCAGCTTTCATCGGCGCCGCCCTGCTTCAGGAATCTGAAATTGTTTGGCAGTTGTGCAGATTGTGCGCTACAGAGTTCCGCTTCTTCTGACTCAGAACGTCTCGCTGACGTCTGCAGCGTCACGGCCTGATTGTTGAATGTTGAGCGATGTTCCGCGGAATCAATTCAACCTTGGATGATTTGGGTTGTGTCGTTTACCTTTGTCCGAGTCGACACGACGCTGACCTACCGTATGGCTTCCAAGCCCAGGTGTTGTTCGAGTTGTGCTAATCTCCCTCCGGAGGGCAGGAAAAACCAGCAGCCGCCTCAGCTTCCGAAGCGGACCAGTCACAAAAAAGGCATTCCAGACGAATGTCGAGATCACTATCGGTTGCCATTGTCGACGAGGAGGAGGATGGTTCCAGGGATGCAATGCAGCGGCCGCTAAGCATATTGCCACCCTTCCCATCAGAAGCCCGTTTGCACACGCACTTCCCTGGAGAGACCCCCGAGGGGGCCACCGCCAAGGGAAGAAGCGTTTTTGTGTCGGAACGTCGGCAGCACATCTGGGTCATAGCAGGAACGATTCGTCTCAAAGGAAGAGAGGTATTTGAGCATATGCCATGCGAGGAGAGGTCATGGGTTGCGTCCACGTTAATCGCAGTTCACACTGTCAGATCAACCGGCAGCAGGCTGCTTTACAAAGGTCGGACGCAAGATTGACATACATCACGGAAAAATCATTCAACCACACAAGCGTATCAAGCATTATTGGAGGAAGCACGAATTATTGCATCAGAATTGGTTCAGAGGCATTAGGATGAATTGGACAAGCTTCAAGCTATGCCACCGCCATCACCGATGAAAGACGACGACGACGACGCGGATGAGGGAATTCAGACGCCACTTGCCCCAGAAGATGGCGACGAAGCCCCCGATGCCGTTACCCAGAGGATCTCGCGCTCAGTGGGGTCACAAAGCAGTTTCACCAGCATCAAGTTGCACCACAGCAGCTCCCCGACTTTGCCACTCTGTAGGGGCAATTTGCGGACCCGACTAACAACTTCATGACACATCAGCGGAACATGTACGACAACGTGACAGTTATGATTGCGCAGGAGACGCAGGTCACATCAAGCGCGACTCACTGGTTTGGCTCCCGCCATTTCGAATACGACGACGATGGCGGCGGGATCAACGGCGGCGGCCACGCCAGCTCCAGCACATCAGTCGCCTCGACTTTCTGTGCCTACCCAGGTGGCACATGCGCAGGCCCCGACGCTTGCTCGGCCACCGCCAGATGCAAGTCAGGCGAGAGCGGCATCGCGCAGTCCTTTCTCTCAGGGGCAACGATAGGGTGAGATGGGCATAGGGGGATGCATCGACCCTCAATCGATCATTGATCGCCGACAGGGGCCCAATAGTCCCAACCTGCCCAGGAACGTGCGGATTCGCTATCGGGGGCCCATCGCCGATCTATGGGCGATGCATCGGCGATTCCACTTCGATATCCCCCCCCCCTCTATGCCAGTCTCCCGCTATCGTTGCCCCTCATCCTCAGAGGAGGAGATGATACCGATGCTCACGAAAGCAAAGTCGAAGTTCCACACGGATTTCTCGGATCGCCGTTGGCCCCCCTGGCAGGGCCTCCAGCGACGATCCAGGACGTCCGCACAGAGCTCCGAACGTTTATAGTTTGCAGTTCCTTCTTCTTCTTCTTCTTCTTCTTCTTCCCTACCCTCCTCAGAGGAGGGAAAGATGACGATGCTGGTGATCGTCGCTCGTCGCCACGGTCGCATTTGACTCGGAGTCCTGGCCCATCCTGGTCCGAAAGCACCGCGGGACAGGTCCGTCGAGCAGCGGCATTGGTATCTGCTTGTGCCATCACGTCCTCCCGGCCTCATTCCTCTACCTCCTCCTGCTCTCTTGATCCGCTCCTCGGAGCAGGAGGGGGAGGAGGAGGAGGAGGAGGAGGAGGAGAAGGAGGAGTCGGGGGCCTCCAGGCGTTGTGCGCTGGCCCCACCTTGTGGTGAGTCAGTGGGGATTGGGGTTACCACACGGTTTCCGGACGTGGGCCAGCATACTTGGAGCGCCTTGGACGAGGCGCAGTTGATGGAAGCCACCCCAGGTCTTGAAAATGTCCGCAACACTCCGAAGTCCATCCTCGGGCGGGTGGGTTCGGATGCAATTCTTGGGAGGTCAACTTCTGACTTTGCCCTGGTCCGAAATCCGGCTTCATCCCGTTTAATATGGCTGAATCCCGTTTGATTTGGATGAATCCAGCTGAAACTGCATAGATTCCGCTCAATCCACGGCCTAGTTTGGCGCAGCAGCCCCCCAGTGGGGCCTAATCCTTTTGAATTCTTCCGACGGAGACCTCCCGCTAGTTGCCTCCTGAGGTGGGATCAGCCCCCTCGGACCCAGGATCCAGGATATCCCGACCCCGCTGCCCGCGGGCCTCCTGCGTCCTCGTCTCCCGTCGTGGCCCCCCCGCGGCCGTCCTTCCATCACAACCGCGGCGACTGGCCCCTCGTCCTCCGCACTGCCTGCGCGCAGGGAGACCACTTTCGAGCGCAGCCGCATCGAGGAGGAGATGGGCCGCGAGAATTACGAAAAGCGGGACCGCGCTGCAGCGAAGAGGAGGAGGAGGAGGAGGAGGAGGAGGACGACCCGTGCAAGCCCAAGATTCATCAACGATGTTGGAATAAGCACTCCCTCCAAGCTCCCTCTTCCACAGGCCCTACAAGAATTCATTTCCACCGAGGGACGTGCCCCGTTGGGAGACAACCGTTTGATAATTCGGAAGCGTGCCAATACACCATTCTCGGGACGTCAACGCGACGAATCAACTTGACTGTTGCGTCTTGACGGTCCTGACTGAGTCGAACCAGAACACCATTCTTGGGAATCCAACACCGAATTCACGTAATTGTTGAACCCTGACAAACCTGAATTTTTCCGAATCAGTGTTTCTGGTACGTTTGCAATGAAATATGGCAACACTCGCTCAATGTTGTATGACGTATGTGCGCGGCGTTGAGGCGAGAGCTATATTTACAAAACGACCCGCCCTCAATGCGTGAACCCGTTTGCGGTTGTTTAAAACGAATTTTCGCGGCGTTAAGGCGAGAGCCACGTTTGGAAAATTACCTACCCTCAATATGTGAAGCTCTTGCAGATGTTTAAGACGAATGTGCGCGGCGCTGAGGCGAGGGCCACAGTTTGAAAACCACCCGCCCTCAAGTCGTGAAACCCTTTGCAATTGTTTGACACGAGTGTGCACGGCGCTCAGGTGAGAGCCACATTTTGGAAGCGACCCCCTCTCAAGATGCAAAACAGCACGAATTCTAAAGCTCCAGGACCATGAGAATGGGAAGGAAGTCTCAGGCGAAGCGCCCCGTCCGCACTTCCGACCGGCCTCGGGGTGCGACATGGGGGGAGTTCTTTTTAAGGTGAAAAATGGGATCGGGGGTGGACAGTCCTCCTACCCTGACACGTCGATTAGCGAATTGGCCGTTTTCGGTTCGCGAGAGGACGTCGCAGTCGTTTTTTTTGCGGGTCCAGATCCGTCGGTTTCGATCCCAGGCCGTTTTCATTACAGGGTGGTTTACTAAAGGGAGGTTTGTCCACCGCTGAGTGGAGTAGCAGCAGCAGAACACAAGCATCGGTGCAGGTCTGCCAGCGGTGACCCCGAACAGCGGGTGATTGCGCTCTCGTTGCGCATCCCGTTGAGCATCCTATGTGGTGCCATAGGTGCGTGTGTGCATACACACATACATATGCATCCATACATACATACATACATACATACATACATACACACATACATACATACATACATACGTACATACATACATACATACATATATACATACATGCATACATACATACATACATGTATGCACACACACATACATATATCGATATATATATAGATATACATAAATAAATAATATCTTACTATATATAGATAGCTATATATCTATATATCTACATTTCTATATATATATATGTATATATGTATGTCTATCTATCGGTATCTATATATATTTATACATGTATACATCGATATATATATATATATATATATCGACATATATGTATGTATGTATGTATGTATGTATGTATGTATGTATGCATACATGCATGCATGCATGTATGTATGTATGTGGGTATGCATGTATGTATGTATGTATGTATGTATGTTTGTATGCATGTAATTATGTATGTATGTATGTATGTATGTATGTATGTATGTATGTATGTATGTATGTATGTATGTATGTATGTATGTATGTATGTATGTATGTATGTATGTATGTATGTATAAGAGTAGGCCGGGGGAGGGGCCAAAATCGGTGCCGTCATCCCCCATGGGGGCCCCCCCGAACCTTCTGGGGGGTCACAGACCCCCAGGGACTGCCCTGGGCCGCTTCCAAATTGCCAACGACAGGCCACGCGGGCCGTACTGATGGTCACGAAAGCCTGAAGAGGCCCCGAAGACGCCCAAGAGCGCCCCAAGAAAGCCCTTGAGGGCCCCAAGAGGGCCTTCAAGAGGCAAACATCTTGCCATTTCCATAGTGAACCATGCATGTTCGGCATACTCGCTGGCTTCGTCTTCACAGTGCCCCAGACGCCCCCGCGGAGCCCCAACACAGCCCAAGAGAGACCCAAGAGGGCCCAGACGCCCCAAAAGGGTCGGCCTGTGGGGCTCACGGAACCCCCCAAGATGGCCCAAGTGGCCCCGAAGCCGGCCCAGGAGGCCCCTAAGACGGCCTCAGGGAGGCCCAAGAGGGCCCCGTTCGAAATCATGTTCCCGGAAGCCTCTCCGGGAACATTACTTCCGGACTCCCAGGGCCCCAGGACAGCCTCAGCGAGGCCCCGAGAGGGCCTTCAAGAGGGAAAAATCTGCCCATCTCCCTCGTAAAACGTACAGTTTCGGTATACTCGCTGGCTTAATCTTCACAGTGCCCCAGACGCCCCCGCGGAGCCCCAACACAGCCCAAGAGAGACCCAAGAGGGCCCCAGACGGCCCAGAAGGGTCGGCCTGTGGGGCTCACGGAACCCCCCAAGACGGCCCAAGAGGCCCCGAAGCCGGCCCAGGAGGCCCCCAAGACGGCCTCAGGGAGGCCCAAGAGGGCCCCGTTTGAAATCATGTTCCCGGAAGCCTCTCCGGGAACATGACTTCCGGGTTCCGAGGACGCCCAAGAGGCCCACATGACAGCCTCAGCGAGGCCCAAGAGGGCCCCAAGAGGGCCTGAGATGGCTTGAAGATGGCCGAAGAGGGCCCCAAGAGGGCCTTCAAGAGGCAAAATCGGCCCATTCCCATCGTAAAACGTAGATTTTCAGCAGACTCGTTTGCTTCGTCTTCACAGTACCCCAGACGCGTTTGAGAAGCCCCAACACAGCCCAAGAGGGACCCAAGAGGGCCCAAGACGGCCCGAAAGGGTCGTCTTGTTCTCGCTTCTCGCTTCTCAGCGCTCCCTCACGGCCTCGCTCGGAGGCCCTTCAGATCGCTCCAAGACGGGCCACGAGGCCCGGAAGAGGGCCCCAAGACGGCCCAGGAGACTCCCCAGGCAACCCAACTGTGTCCCAAGAGCTCCCCAAGAGAGAGCCCAGAGGGGGACCGCCAACCGATATTTCGATGTCTCTGGCCCTAGAGGCCGCCTGTAGGCCCCCGGAGGCCACCAAGAGGCTCCCGCGAAGCCCCGTGAGGCGCCCAGGAGGTCTCAGGAAGCCCCAAGAGACCCCCAAGGGGCTCGCAGGGAACGCCCAAGAGGCCCCCCAACACACCCCAAGAAATCATGTCCCCAGAATACCTTCCGGGGACATGGCCCATCATGGGCCCGAGAGTTCCCGGAGGCCCCCATTGGGCCCCACAGGGAACGCCCAAGAGACCCCCCAACACACCCCAACAAGCCATGTCCCCAGAAAGCCTTCCAGGGACATGATTCATCATGGGACCGCGAGTCTCCGTAGGCTTCGAAGTACCATCATGCTACAGGAGAGTTGTCTGGGAAGTTGATTGGGAACATGTCTGATCGCCTTCTCGCGGCCCTCCGCAGATCGTTTCGCGCAAAGTTGCCCCAAGTGCCCTCTTGAACCGACGACGACGAAACGAAACGACGAAGACGACGACGACGACGACGACGACGACGACGACGACGACGACGACGACGACGACGACGACGACGACGACGACGGCGCGCCCCAATAGGCGACGACGACATTACGACGACGACGACGACGACGGCACGCCCCAACAGGCTCCCCAAGACGCCCCCAAACCCATGCTCCCAGAAGGTCTTCTGGGAACCCGATTCATACCGCCTCCGCCCCGTGTAGCAATGAATTCGTCAAGGTCTGGTGCCTGCTAGAACCTGAGCGCGCGCGAAGCGTGCTTTGATGGTTCTAGTATATATATATATATACGTATATATATACATATATATGGGGCACTTGGATCTCTCAAGCTCTCCGCCGCCTCTGGCGTTGTGCGTTGCGAGGCGGCGGAGAGCTTGAGAGATCCACCTACAAAAAGTATACGTACACGAAGACGGGGAAGACTTGGGGATCAAACATCGGAGCCTCGAGTCCCCCATTTGGGTCCAGGGCCTCTTGGGGCTCCCCTGGGGCTGCCCCAGAAGTTTCTAAGACGGTCCACGGGGGCCTCAAGAAGGGCCCAAAAGCGTTCCAAGAGGCCCAAGGTGGCTTCAGAACGGCTCAAGAGGCTCCGAATACGCCCCGAAAGGGTTCCAAGAGGGTTCCCCAGAGGGCCCCAGGAGGCAAAATTTACCCCACTCCCGTAGCAAAACGTGAGCCAGCGTGAGTCCCAAATATTGAGTCATTGCAATGTGGATATGAAATCTGTGCGACGCAAGCTATGTCGTGTGAGCTATGCGGTGTGAACCACGGAGGTAAAAGCCATGTGGTGTAGGCAATGTTGTGGAATGTGGTTGGTGTGAAAGGTGCGCGGTGCAGGCTATGTTGTGTAGGTTGTCTCGTGTCAGTCTCGCTCCCACAGAGGCCTTAGCGCCTGCCATCATCATCAGCACTGCCGTTGACATCAGCAGCAACAGCCAGGGATGGGGGATGCAGGAGCAGCGGGGCAAAGGAGGGGCGGGAGTGACATCGGGAGGGAGAAGCACACAGACGCAAAGAATCGCCGATGCCCATGGACGTGCGAAACATGCGGGGAGTGGAGGGAGAGACGAACATCCCGAGGATGGACGGAACATGTGGGGAAATGTTTTCGGATATGTATGTGTGTGTGTGTGTGCGTGTGTGTGTGTGTGTGGCCCTGGGTCCCTTCTTGTGAGAGCAGCACGGGGGAGAAGAGCACGAGGCGGGGCGGTACGTCGGCCGCGCGCAGAGGGTGGCATTCGGGGGGGATTGGGGGGGGGGAAGGCTGCTTTCAGAAAGAGGCTAGCCTTCTCAGAGGGCGCGGGCCTGCTCCGTGGACGTGAGGCCGGCGCCCTCTACGAAGCAGCCTCCCTCCAGGAAGCCTTGCCCCCCTCCCCTTGCTCCAAATGTCGTAACATAAGCGAGGGAGTCACAACGCTCCCAGGCGCGCAGTTTGCAGGCCCCCCCCCAGACCAGCCACGAACGCGCGGCCTCTTG